TTTCTCAAAAATTGAAGAGGCACCACTCTCCGAATCTCAAGAGCCACTCCTAACAGGATTGCTTTCTCAAAAATCGAAAAGGCACCGTTTCTGAATCTCGAGAGTCAGATCCCTCGACGGGATTGCTTGTTCGAAAACCGAAGAGGCACAACGCTCTCAGAACTTCGAGAGCCAGATTTCCTTAGATAAAGCTTGTCTGTAATCTTCACACGTAACATCAGCTTTCCAGATACCACATACCACTTTTTCAAAGTGCTCTGACAAAATTAAAACACGTGAAGCTGGCAGCTCCCACTACATTGCTGTGACCAAGAAGGGTAAAGGAATAGCATTACTACTTGTTATTGGGAAATCCCTATATACATTGACCTCCCTCCTCAACGGACAGGCAAACCTGCAAAAAAAAAAATGCTCAACCCTTTCTCGCATTCGAAAAGGCACCCTCAACATAACCTCTCGAAATACTCAGCTTTATTTCCCCCCGATAATACCTCAGCAAATAAGCCACACCAAGAACAAGAGTATCTCATATCATCAGGGTCGAAAGCAAGAGTATCCCATATCATGCTTTCTCCCTGTCTTTGTCTTTGTCCTTGTCCACACCTGCAGGACAAGGAGAAAGAGAGCAGTCAGTCGGAACCTGAAATCAAACCTTCCAATTTGGAACTGACTGCCTGGAGCCTTTGCCTGGTTGCTTACTTAGCATTGCTCTCGAGTACTCATCCTCAACTGCTGTCAAGGTCACGAATTCCACCGGCAAATACCTCATGACAGTTGATCAGATATTGGCTCTTTACACTGAAGCTGCCAAGCGTGGATGAGTCACTATGAAGGAATGTTCTGAAGGACCATTTAAAATGCAAAGGTTGCACACCACTTCTGCCATGCAAAAGATTGAAGCAGAAGGTTCAACGGTGAGCTGAACAGATCACTACACGACAGAATCGATAATCAGACTCTTCAAATCAAGCATACCGACATTCATTTCCTATTTGCCATACCACATCCATATTTGTCAACAGCAAAAGTATCCCATATCATCAAGGTCGAACGTACTCTAGATTTGATGGACTTGTTTTGACCCTCAAATTTTTGAGTCGGCCTTATACTCTGAAGGGCACCAGAAAACCCTCCAGCACAGTTCAAGAATAAGCCTGTGGAAAGTTACTTCTTCAAAAGCAAAAGTATCTCATATCATCTCTTATCCATTTGCTTCTCTTTATCCTGGCAGTTGAATGAGAGACAAGGAGAATGAGAACAATCAACCGGAAGCCGAAGTCAAACCTCTGATCCTGGGTTGCTTACTTGGAAGTTTGACTGCTTACCTTGTCTGTCACCTCTTTCGGCAGATCTCCTAGCTCGGCGACTTGGGGGACTCCTACTATAGGGTTTGTATCACACTTGACTAAGCCCGAAACTACAACTAAGCTTCAAGTGAAATTGATACATTACCTTGTGCGTCAATCCATCAGCTAAAGATACCACCCCGGATGGAGGAAAGTACTTCCAGAGAAGATACCACATCTACTTATGAGACAGATAAGGCAAGTGAAGACGATACCACACTTCGGTACTTAGAAGTTTCGTGATTACTCAAGGGATTGGATCTTGCAAGTCCCCAACCGAGGAGTTTCCCTCACTCGGGAACTTAGGGGAGCACTGTTTGTACCATACTTGACCAATCCCGAAACTACCGAGCACCGGCCAACGCTATACTGTCAAGGACCCAGAAGAGTTTCCCCTCCGACCAGGAGGCCAATCACTACTGCGACACGTGTCGACATCAGAAGCCAATCACAGCGCAACACGTGTCAACATCAAAGCCAATCACAACACGACACGTGTCAATGTCAGAACAAAGCTACAAACTTTTTCTATAAATAGGGATCATTCTCCCCACAATATTGCCTAATGTCCATTTGTACTAAATCATTCACAAGAACTCACTAAATTGAGAGCTTGATCCTATTGTAAAAGCCCTTCACTACTAATGAAGAACTCCTCTACTCCGTGGACGTAGCCAATCTGGGTGAACCACGTACATCCTGTGTTTGCTTCTCTGTCTCTATTCATTTACGTACTTATCCACACTAGTGACCGGAGCAATCTAGCGAAGGTCACAAACTTAACACTTTCTGTTGTACCAAAGTCCTCGCTGATTTTGTGCATCAACACTTTTTTATTTTGTTTTTGAGTAAATTGGAGCAATGGTCCCTCAACTTTAAGCAAATTGGAGCAATGGTCCCTCAACTAAAAATCTATTGTCATTGGTCCCTTAACTTATCAAAATGTGTAGCTATAGTCCTTTTCATCAATTTCATCCAAATTTTGTCAAAATAAGTTATGTTGGAATGACTATTTATACAATTAGGGTCCCTCAACTCATCAAAGTGTGTAATTATGGTCATTTTCGTCAACTACGTCAAAATTTTTGTCAAAACGAGTTATGTTGGAAGGACCATTGCTACAATTGGGTTAAAGTTAAGGGACTATTTCTCTAGTTGAATTAAAGTTTAGGGACCAAAGGTAATGGATTTTTAGTTGAGGGACCATAGCTGTACGTTTTGATGAGTTGAGGGACCAATGGTAATGGATTTTTAGTCAAGGGACCATTGCTCCAATTGAGTTAAAATTAAGGGACCATATCTACAATTTATTCTTTGTTTTTCTAGTTAATTAAAACATAGAAAAATATATCGAACCGTTTATGGTTAGTTCGGTTACTTGGGTATATGAAGCCGTTGTACTGAATAAGACCAACGAACACCTCATTACTAATTATAGTTAAATGAAAAAAAAGAAAACAAAGAAAGAAAACTATGGAAGAGAGGAGCCAGGATGACCAATGATGTTTAACTATACTAGAAACGATCCAATAAAAATTAACTATACTAGAAACGACTACAAACTACAAAATAACCGAACAATTTTACGCCGTATATTACACCAAAAGTTTTGTTTTCTTTGGGAGCCTTACCTTTCCTCCATCCCTGCCATTGCGACTTGCAAGAAAGTTTGTATTGTGTACACACACACACACAGACACACACATACATATATAGATATATCACCGTTTCTCTCTGAGATGGGGTTTCTCCTTAGGTAAAGACCAGAAGGATTAGGGAAGTATATTATACATAATGTCTTATTTTAAGTTGACTGGGAGTGTTGGTGGGGAAGATTTTGTGATAACCAGTAACACAAAAGATTTAATTGTTGTATGCTTCAATAAAACGATATCCCCAACAGGACTATGGCGAGCACACAACCCCTTTATGTCAGCTCTTTCAGTTCTTGTTATAAGACTGAGCATCGCCGTCTTCAGCACTCGTATTTTTATGATCGCCTTAAAACCCTTGCATCAACCACGCATTGTTGCGGAGATTCTTGTAAGCAGTACCATCCTTCCTTATTCCTCTCTTGTTATATTTTTCTTACATCTGTCTTATATTACTGAAAATATGATTTTAGCCCTTCTAACTCAATTTTCGTCATATAAAACCCTACATAACTTTTTTACTCAAAGAAAACCCAATTACTAGGATTCACATAAGCAAATTCATTAATCTTTCATATTACTTCACACATTTTACATTTTTCACATGCCTAAAATACCCCTATTACATATTTGATGTAGACAATTAATTGTGAAGAGAGAGTAAATGATTTTGCAACAAGAAAAAAAAAGACATTAATGTTAAAAATTTATTGCATATTAATTTTTTAGAAAGGCTTTGAATTTTCATAAAACTATTCGATTCAGTTTTTTTTCACCCTACTCTTGAATACTTTTGAATTTATCCTTTTTTTATTAATATATTAGAACATTGTATTTCATTATCTACATGCACATTAATTTACCTACAACAATTATACCATGGGTGTAATATAATATCTCTTTTTTACAATGATGCAAAATAATGTTTATACCAACAACAAAACGTACTACTACATGGAAAATAATTTACCTATATTAAGAAGAAATGTAGTTCGATGCATAGTATTATAAATACTATGTTACACCCATGTTTATACAACAGTAAAACGTGCTTAACATATCTGACAATACATGGAAAATAATTTACCTACAAGTTAGATAAATGTTATTTGGTTGGGTGTAGTATAATTTTTTTTAATAATTGGAAAAATTAAATATAACTAGGTGTAGTGTAATTTTTTTATATAATTAGAACAAATTAATTTACCTACCTACTATTTGAAATGTTCATTTCTAATGATGCAAAATGTTCATTACCTAACTACAAATTAATTTCCAATAATTTACCTACAACAATTATACTATGGGTGTAATGTAATATTTTTCTTTACAATGATACAAAATATTGTATGTACCAACAACAAAACGTGCCTAACATAAGTACTTGTACATGGAAAATAATATACCTACAACAAAAGAAATGCAGATTGATGTATAAAATCAACAATATTATGTTCCACTATTGTTTATACAACAACAAAACGTGTCTAACATATATAACAATACATAGAAAATAATTTACCTACAAGTTAGAGGAATGTTATTTGATTCAAAATATATAATACAGGTGTAGTATTTAAAAAAAAAATGGAACAAACTAATTTACCTACCAATTAATATGGGTAAAATTGCTACAAAATATATCACGAAAAAAAAAACCTACTTTTCTAGTTTGGCATGGATACGGTTAATGCAAATATTTTTTACATTTTATTTCACTTTTTCTACTACTTTTAATTTGGCGTAAATTTAGGAATTTATAAAAGGGACCATAAAGTATGAGTGGCATGAGTGTAAATAAATTGTATTAATAGGTCAATAGTGTTCCCATATATTTGCAAATTTTAAATTTAGGCTTAAACTGGATCTTTAAAGATAGATGAGTTTTTATCTAGAAATAATGAGTTGTAAGGGCCAAAATCTAAAGCACCCTTGTTATTATTAAGGAAAATATGTAAGTAGTAAATACACCATTTTACACGTTACAAACTTTCAGGGTGGAATGTCGTCGAGTACGAGTACTTGGGGTAGAGTTGTACCAGCCGTATTTCCTTACAGTACCGTGAAGATTATCGAGACCATCGGAAACTTGGCCCTCGTTTACCACATGTTCCTGGTGGGTTTAGAGCTTGATTTAAAACCAGTGTTACGAGCTGGAAAGAAAGCTCTTAGCATTGCGCTCGCCGGCATTGTCTTTTCCGTCCTTGTTGGTTGGGCCTTATGTCGATATGTGCTCCTCAAAGATTTTGTCGAAGAAACAAAAGGCAAGGATGGACAAAAACTTCCCACTGTGAACGGCCCGTGGTTCTGGGGCGTTGCTCTTGCCACCACCAACTTCCCAGACCTTGCCCGAATCCTCACAGACCTCAAACTTCTCTACTCTGCTGTCGGAGGACTTGCGTTATCTGCCTCTGTTATCTCCGACTTATGCTCCTGGTTTCTTCTTTTGCTCGTAATGGCCATAGTCAACAACTTCCAGACAATTTCGGTGGGACTCACCTTGCTTTTTATAGGGCTATGCATTTTTATCGTACGTCCTCTTCTGTCACGGATTGTTGACCGAATTCGTGACAAAGTACAAGACGATGGCGACTACGGTCAACTTGAATGCTTTGTTCTAGCCGGGGTGGTGCTTTGTGGGTACATTACCGATGCATGTGGGTCTCATTCTATCGTAGGGTCTTTTATCCTTGGAGCTATCATGCCTAGAGGAGAGTTTTCAAACAATCTTAAAAAGAAGGTGGGAAGTTTTGTGCCTGGGATTCTGTTGCCTCTCTACTTCTGTATCAATGGGAGTAGAATCAACTATGTGGATATTCTCAGTTCCGTTTATCCATCGGAGAAAAAAACTGGGACGGACATATATCGTGTAGGGGGGGTTATCATCTTAGCTTTTGCAGCTAAGACACTGAGCACTTTGGTTGCCGGCTTAGTAAACAAAATGTCATTTCGGGATAGTTTGGCTCTTGGAGTGCTCATGAACACCAAAGGCTTATTGACACTTATTATACTCAACACCGGTCGGGAAGTAAAGGTACGTAACATATGACTTTATGCATGCGTAATGCCTTTGAATAATTCATGAAAGAATGACAAATAATATGTCGTATATACATGTATATGTCTAGGCGTTGAACAAACAAACCTTCGGAGTAATGGTGCTGGCAATTTGGGTAATGACATTTGTAGTTGGTCCGCTTCTAGCAATTTTTTACAAGTCTAGTGCTAGGCCTTTCGTGCAATACAAAGAGAGAAATGTAGTAAGCGTAGGATCTAACAACGAGCTTCGAATCCTTGCATGTGCTCACAACTCACGCAATGTGCCAGGCATTATCAACCTCCTCGAGGCTTCTAATCCAACCAATAAATCCCCTCTTCATGTTCTTGCTGTCCACCTTGTGGAACTAACGGGGCATACTTCGGCGATGTTGGTAGTGCACGATGCTTGTAAGACCAATGATGTATATTCTCCCGACAACTCGTCCCCCTCAAATGCTTTTGAAGCATATGCCCAACAAAGAGAATGTGTCACGATGCAAACACTCACGGCGGTGTCTCAATACTCCACGATGCACCAGGATATATGCAACCTGGCTGAGGAGAATCGCGTCGCCATAATAATCATCCCGTTCCACAATAAATCCACCACATTGGTTGGAGGAGTGGCACCAGATGCAAACAACTCACATCTAAAGAGCCTCAACAACAACTTGATCGCAAATGCTCGGTGCTCTGTGGGTGTTTTTGTGGATCGAGGCCTCGGTGCATCCAACGACTCTTACCGTCGATGCTGCTATTCCATGCTCTTCTTTGGAGGGGTAGATGACCGTGAGGCATTAGCGTATGCGGGTCGCATGGCTGGACATCCTAGGACTAGCCTAACAGTCATATCGTTTAACATCATGAGTAAAAATGCATCAAACTTGTGCTCTGAGGATGATCATGGTGATGATGATGACGAAGACGATGACGATGAAGATGGTACTGGTGGAATTCTGAAGGCAATGGCAAGCACTGGGAGGGAAAAAAAACTGGATGAGTTGTACTTGGATGAGTTTAGGCTGATGTCAATGAATGATGCCTCCGTAAAACTTTTAGAGAAATCGGTGACTAGGTGGGAACAAATTCTCTCACTAATAAGCTCAATGGAAGGTGAGTATGATATGTACATAGTAGGAAGAAGGCATGGAAATGTATCAGAGGTCACCACGACGTTACTCGATGGCATCGACTCCAATGACCTTGGATTTCTTGGAGATGCATTGGTATCTTCAAACCTTACAGCAAGTACATCCGTTCTAGTTGTGCAACAAGGTCGCCTTTTGGATTATTATTCTTGATTGAGAGAGAAAATGGGATGTATCTTGGAATAATTTGTGTTGGATAATTAGGTAATAAAAACCGCTAAAGAAAGTAACAGGTGACGTCCACATAGCCTGATGAATTAGGGAAAATAAGGCAGAAGCATGATTATTATTATTATTCAAACTAGCCTCTTGCCGCGCATGGGAGTTTTTATTATTTATTATTTAATTAAAATTTTTTGTTTTAATGAGGCTTAAGAAAACAAAAATTTTGATGAAAAACATTTAATTGTTGTAATATTATGATATTATAGTATATGTGTGGTTGTGTAAATTACTAGTAGATTGTATTTAAAATTGTTGATGCACAAAACCGGAGGGGTCTTGGAACAACGTAAATCCGACCGTGAATCTGCAAGAAAGTAAAGAACACAAGATGTATCGTGGTTCACCCCAATGTTTGGGCTACGTCCACACTGATATTGTATTTCTCTGTTTGTGAGAGGGTTGTGAGGGAGAGAGAGCTTCTGAGGGTGAGAGAGCTCTTTAGGGGATTAGAGGCTTTTTGTTTGTGAGGGTGAGGAGGCCCTTTTATAGAATAAGGGCTCCTCACTTATTACATATTTGCCCCTTCATTTATTACATAATTACATTTGAGTCCCCCGAGTATTTATAAGAGATCTAAATACGGAGGCCCTAAGTATGGTACAAACAGTAGTCCCCCAAGTCTTCAGTCAAGAGAGTCTTTTGGCTGGAGACTTGAAATTCAGTCCATGTGTGGGCCGAAGTAACTAGATGTCGTCTAGAATTGATACTCGATATGAGGCGGTGCCCAATCTGAAATGATGCTCAACTAGAAGTAGCACATGTTGCGAGGCTGCTCTGCTTGTGGCTTATGTTGCCTTGGTTGGCTCGGCTTGTGGCGTTGGAGGTGAGGGAGTCCCTTTTATAGAATAAGGGCTCGCTCCTCAATACATAAATGATGGGCTAGAGTTGATGCTCGCGGCGAGGCGGTTGCTCAGTAGGCGGCGATGCTCTCTAATGATGGTGAGGGAGTCCCTTTTATAAAATAAGGGATCGCTCCTCAATACATAAGTGATGGGTTATGAGTGATACTCGCGGCGAGGCGGTTGCTCAGCTGGCGGCAATGCTCTCTAATGATGGTGAGGGAGTCCCTTTTATAGAATAAGGGCTCGCTCCTTAATACATAAGTGATGGGTTAGGAGTGATACTCGCGACGAGGTGGTTGCTCAGCAGGCGGCGATGCTCTCTAATGTGGTGAGGGAGTCCCTTTTATAAAATAAGGGCTCGCTCCTTAGTACATGAATAATGGGTGTTCTCTAATGAAAGTGAGGGAGTCCCTTTCATAGAATAAGGGCTCGCTCCTCAATACATAAATAATGGGCTAAGTCCCCCAAGTATTTTTCATGAGGCCCAGTTACGGAAGCCCAATATATTGGTACATAGTGCAGTCCCCCAAGTCTTCAGTTAATAGAGGTTGTTGGTTGGAGACTTGAAATTCAATCCATGTATGGGCCGAAGTGGCTGTTGTTTGGAGGCGGTATTTGTATACCCTGCACTGAAGCTTTGTAGGTAAAGCTTTGCAAGTGAAGCTTTGAAGCTGGAGCTTTTGTAAATGAAGCTTTTGAAACTGGAGCTCTTGAAGCCGGAGCTCTGTAAATGAAGCTTTCGAAGCTGATTGACATGAGTGATGCTCATGAATGTTTATGTTGTTTGACATGAGTGATGCTCATGAATGTTGACATGAGTAATGGTCATGAATGTTGACATGAATGATGGTCATGAATGTTTATGTATGATTGACATGAGTGATGCTCATGAATGTTTATGTATGATTGACATGAGTGATGCTCATGTATAGTTTTGGAGTACTGGACGTACTTTTGATCGCCTGGTTGGTGATAATAGCGACAGGCTGCCGAATAATTTTGGAGTACTGGGCGTACTTTTGATCACCTGGTTGGTGATAATAGCGGCAGGGTGCCGAATAAATTTGGAGTACTGGACATACTTTTTTTTTTTTTATGATTACCCTCTGATGGGGTTATACAGATCTTTCCGAAAGATAAGAAAAATAAATTACATCATTCAAAAATAAATCCAACTCTCTGCTCAATGGGTCACACCCATAATTCCCTTTTTTGCATGCCATCACCATCGTAATTATGTCTGCTTCTTTTTATCTTATTTTGCTTTCTGCTTTTGCTTTCCGCTTTTCTTTCTGCTTTTCTGCTTTTGTTTCCCACTCTTCCTCTTTTTCTTTTTCTGAAACATTTTCTCAACAACATCATGATCTTTTTCTTTTTCTATTCTGCTCCTTTATCCAGCAAGCCCACTTGACAGCGGATTGCACGTTACTCTCCAGCTCTTTCTTCTTTCTTTTATTCCACTTTTGCTTTTTGCTTGGCAGGTTTACAGCATGGGTGAGCAGTGACTGTAAATCCACTTGCAAATGCTGACGAATGAGCACAAACAATCCTCCGCGCTATTCCCAGTATCCCCAACTTGTGTGGGGGACCACGAAGCCACCAAGGGGACTCTCCCGTCCGACCCAACCTCATTGACTGTACCTGCCAGATCATCCAACGATTGAACCCTACCCGGCGACCCACCATTCTCCTCCCCTTGAACCGGCGCCGTCGCAAAGAAAGATCTGGGCTTGGATAGTGGATCTACCCCCAACCGCTCAAACTCTCTCTGTTCGATTGAATTCGATGAGAGACAATAGAAACGGTAGCTCGATCGGCTTCGGCAAACAGCGGGTCCGAGGGTCCTTATCTTCCTCCAGAGAGTCCCTGAGAGTCCTGAGATCTGGGAAGTCGTGGGATGGAGTGTTGAGTTGGTGTGGTTTTCTGGGTTTTTGAGATCTGGGACGTCCGACCAACCTCAGCCTTCTTCTTCCCGCGCTCAGCTTTTGGAAGCTTCCAGATTCAAATTAGTTATTTTGAAGCATGAGTGAAGGTGAAATTCCATCGCTGCTATCCTTGTGCGTAGATTGAGCTGACGTTTAAAACCCTGAATTTCAAACCACTTTCCAGAAAGCCCAAGGATTGGATCATCGGGAGCGCGAAAGACGTGAGCGAAGATGGAATTGGCGTGGGCGGAAGCTAGCGAGGCAGAGATGGAGTTGTTGTGAGCATCCACGGCGGATGACGATTGATCTTCTTTGGCAGCGAGGTGTCGTACCAGAGCGCTCAGCCTCCGATCACTACTCGTAGAAACAGAAGAACTGTGGGCGTGGGGTTTGAAGGTGTGTGATGGTTCTTTGGTTTCTGCCTTCTGGGCTCGAGCCACTTCAGCTCGGCATGTATCATGTGCTTCCCTCTGGTATCGGCGGCTAACAAAGACTGCAGCCGTTGGGTTGTCGGGGTCAATGTTTCCGACCCATTTGATTGCATCGTATCACAGAACCCATTAAAGCTTCAAACTTTAGAGCAAATACCCAGTTGCAAAAACCAACATATATCACAAAGAAACAATCTGATCGTCGCAGAAACGCCATTGGAGCGGAAACCCACGACGACCCAGAAATCTTCATGGACCCCACAACCAATTTCTCACCAGAAACACACAAAGGAGCGGATCTAGCAGTGAAAGAGAAAGGGAATGAAATGGGAAAGCAAGAAAGTTTCTTTCTTCTTTGTATGTTTGGTTGTTTGGTTGTTTGGTAGTGGAGGGAGTGAGAGAGAAAGGGAGAGATGAGACTGGTTTCTTGGGTTTTTGTGATTTTGCAGTTTCACGGCGGAGGTGAAAAAATGAAAGAGAACCGACACAACTTTTCGTATCGATTCCCATAGACGGCACCAAATGTTGATGCACAAAATCGAAGGGGTCTTGGAACAACGTAAATCCGACCGTGAATCTGCAAGAAAGTAAATAACACAAGATGTATCGTGGTTCACCCCAATGTTTGGGCTACGTCCACACTGATATTGTATTTCTCTGTTTGTGAGAGGATTGTGAGGGAGAGAGAGCTTCTGAGGGTGAGATAGCTCTTTAGGGGATGAGAGGCTTTTTGTTTGTGAGGGTGAGGATGCCCTTTTATAGAATAAGGGCTCCTCACTTATTACATATTTTCCCCCTTCATTAATTACATAATTACATTTGAGTCCCCCGAGTATTTATACGAGATCTAAATACGGAAGCGCTAAGTATGGTACAAACAAAAATACTAGAATATCTTATTCTTTTATGATTATATTATTTGTAAGATAAGAAATCTTATCCAGTTTACAATACATAAATGCACTAAGCATGAAGAATATCACACACACAATTCTTCAAGCCCTTCTTCATCCCTCCATATCGCACATTCTCTATCCTTCAATAAAATATATTAACCCTCGAATCGTGTAAGCTGCGACTTGAAGTTGCGCCAAGTCGAGCCGCCCTGCACTACCCCAATGTCAATGTGCTCCATGAGCTGAGCCACCAAACCCCTGACACCATTCGATCGAAATGACGTCGTTCTGCGTCGTCCCTAACCTTAGATTCTCACAGCCTTACCGACCTCCGTATTCCTGTGATCTTCTTCGATGAACCGAAATCGTCCTTCGTCTTCCAGGGGAGGTTTCCGTGATAGAAACAAGAGATTCCAGATGAATCTCGAAAGGTTTTAAACTTCGAACACCGACCCGCAGTCGTGAACCCACGATTGGAAGTTTTGAGATTTATTTCATCGTCGTATGTCGTGATTGCAGACCTCAGACGATTAATTAGTCGTCCAATCAGAAGTTATCTTCGTCAAGTTTGACGACTTTGATGAATTTCCAGAAGAAATTGCATTGAGTTTTGGATGATATCATCGCGATTCGAGCTCGTCGGAGTTCGAGCGTCTCGAGGATACTTCCGCAGGTATCCCACTCGTATAGATATCCTTTCATTATGGGTAATGCGAGTGGGGACTGAATTCGTAAAAACAAATTTGTAAAGTAAATAATATGAAAATTAATAATTGAATTATTACCTAAGCGTTGATAAATATGTTCATTTTTGTATTAGTGAAATCATTTGATTTGCAAATTTAATCTACAAATTTAGTCTTCCTAACATTAATTTTTTTCATTATACATAATTTCTAGATACTGAATGGGTCCCTTTGTGTTTTGGGATGTGTAGACCGAACAATCAATCAAACATTTACATGCATGTAACGTGATCAGTTCCCAAGCGAAGATATCCAAAACAAAAGGAAAAACGGAATGAATGTCATTTAAATTTCTCTTCAAATAGTTGAAGGCATCTCACATTATTTTTCATCTCCATTTACTAACAACTTAAATAGTATGAGAAATGAATCTCACAGATGAGCTGATAAACTATCTTCCTTGGAGTCTCAAAGTAAAAGCCTGCAAGGAAAGAAGAACTTTCTTTAAATTCTCCTTGGTCTGTGCATCAATTAAGTTGCTGTTCTCGTCGAACTTTGCAGGGGGCTGAAATGCATTCAGGAAGAACTCTGGCTTGTTGATGAAATGAAGGTCAAGGCAGACTCCAATTTGGCGAAGATGGTATTGGGATCGTGAACCGCCAGAGCCTCCTGAAGCGCTTATAATTGCAGCAGCCTTGTCAGCCCAAACATTTGGGGGTCTTGATGCCCAGTCAAGTGCATTCTTTAGCGGTGCTGCATTGTGCATATATGTGAGGGTAAATTGGTCAATAAACTACAAAAAATAAGATATAAATACATTTAAAATAGCGTTACTACGTTCACAACGTGTTCTATTTTTCCATCTACCTTCTATTAATTTGTCAACCTTTCCTATTTCCCATCATTTATATTTTAGTTATAAAATAAGTGAGAAAATAAGACAAGTGAATAGATACAAGTACAACAACACTCAATACAAACTGTGGATTTCATATACAACATCTCTTTATTTTATCGACGGTTCTACCAATTGATATGTTCCCGCAAATAGTTGAAAACATCTAGCAATATGCAACTTATGATCCTTTAAGCTGCAAGTACATCTAGTTAATCATAAATTCTCTTTTTAAACATGACAAAATACATATGTTTCTTGATATATGGTTACTGTACTGTACTATGCCAACCGAAACAATAATACTAGAACCGCAGGAACTTAGAAATCGATCACTGATCCAATTTGAGTACCTCTACAGGATAGACCTCAACAGAAAACTGAAGAGTAACGGCAGCAAGTGATTGAGTTCAGTAGTTCCTCATATAAAAATTATTGACTCTAGAGATATAGTAATATGGCCAAATTTGTTTATCAAAACTTTACCATACAAATCCTTGTATCAACTAGGTGTTAATATACATGCCAATCCTTACTTATTCGTGACATTAAAATTTGAGTTGAAATTAAATTTAAATCAATTAGACAGTGTCACATCATTGTCCAAATAGTTAATCACCTTCCAGAACCAGAAAATATCATCTAACACAACAATATTAACCTAAAAATTCAAGTATAATTTATATTTTTCCTCCACAAATAGAAAAAACTTAAGAAATAAATATATACCCGAGACGGAGTAATTGTATTCAGGTGAGGCAAAGAGAATGCTATCAGCTTCTCGGATCTTCTGACGAAATGCTTCGACGACAGGTGGAAAAGTTCCCTTTCCCTCCAGATCTGTGTTCAGCAATGGCAGCTTCGATATGTCCACGTTCTCTATTTCCACGCCGCTCATTGACGACTTGCTTATCTCAATCGCTGCAATCGGCAACACACGATCCAAGCTCATTAATTTTCAGTCCCCAAAAAAAATTTTAAATAAAAAAAAATGAAAACCAATAGGAGGGCGCCAGATGGCAACTAACCAGAACGAATGAGTCCGCGGTTGTAGGAACCTTCACGGACGGACCCACAGATAGCCACCACTTTGATCAACGGTTTGGTCGCTGCAACTGCCGCCGCCTCCATTTTTGCTTTTTGTTGAAAGTTTTATAGCTCCTGTCCACGCAACAACAGAAACAGAATAAGCATATTTATAGGGTTTGGAAGTGAGCGTCGTTTAAGTACGATGCTGCAAGAAATTGTGGGGTCTGGATCGGACGGTAGAGCTTGGTCTTGGGGCGATCAATGATTTTGAGGTGGAGATATGGGTTTTTGACCGTTGGATGTGTGGAACGTGTGTGTACAGTGTTTTAGTTTGCGTATGCAGTGACGTGGGTCGTATCTGTCCAATGCGATAGCAGGTCAAAACAATTACGGAAAGACTTTTTAATTGTCGAAGGGTGATAAATTTTTCATTTTGGTTCAGAAACATAAATGTTATATCACGTATTTTAATAGAAGTGGTGAAAATTTTTATTTTTTAAGTTATTAATTTTTTAGCACACATATCCCACAATTTGTATAATAACATGTGATGTATCATCCCGTGTACCGATCACATTGAAAAATTTCTCGTCGAAAGGCTGCTAATTGTAATCCCAATATCTTGGGAACCGTCTGTACTCGTTGACTTTGAAAGAAGAGAAATGCTAACAAGATTTTTTTTTCAAAATCAGACTTTTTATGAATTCTCTACTACCTTATAATTTAACGTCAATACTCATGCTAATGTTATAAAACATTGTACAAAATATAGAGAGTCCCACTTTTTGAAGAGTCTCCTTAGAATTCTCTCTGGAAGAAATTGTAGCATCGGAAATAATTTTGTTATACGCACCATAACCTCTTATTGTTATTATAATAATAATAATAATTTATTTGCTTAAGATAATCTGAAAGAGCTATTCTCAATGCGAGTCTGGCTCTCTTCTTGAATGGGAAGCGGGATCTTATGGAGGAGACCTGCTTGATATGGTGGATTGTGTGGCTGAAGCTTCTTTTGAGAAAGGTGATGGAGTGTACGAACATTTGGGCAGCTGAATCATTCTTTTTATGTTCAGCACTGTTTGATCACATCTGTTAGAGCTTGATTCAAGAAGAGGGACTTCGTCATCAAAGATCGACTGGATATAAGGAGTTCATTTCTGTTAGATCACTTTTCATGGTGCGAAACCGAATTTGGAAAATTTTACACTGGCCTCACATTTGAAGGATTGCATCTGGAAGTTCTTGTTAGCTAGTTAAACATTTTTCAACCACTAATTCGTAGCAGGATACTCAATTGCGCTGCTTGTTTTCCTATTATCGTCGCATTAGTTTCATCACTTGTGTCTTCAAGAACCAAACGTATTTTGAACCTACATTTAAGATTTATGCAATGGTTTAATACTGAGGTATAGCTGTGTTTTAACTTTATAAAACAGTAGGTGGAAGGGATTATGAGTTTTTGTACTACAAAAGAAGATCAGGAGTTTGATTCTTAGGGGGATGGTTTGGACAAACCAGTTGATCACTATGGGGAGTGGTTCTCGGTTATTTGTGGCAAGATGGGCATGCTTTGTAGAAAAGAAAAACATATGCTTTACCGATTTCAGAGATTAGGTAGGATGATGGTCAATATGGCGAAGGTGGTATGTCCCAAGTGTTTTTGTCATCTTCAAGATATCAATTTAATTAATGTGTGTTCGAGAGGTTTAAAGTCAGTTCTAAAGATACAAGCAAATATGGAATTATAACATAAGAACAAGTGTGATTGATGCATAGTGGTTCAATCATCACTCATATAATCAGCTCAAAACTCACAATAATTACATAAAAACACTAAATTCACATATTAATATTTGAATCATGTTTTAGTTTCATATCAAGATGGCTGTGTTCATTTACTTTTTCAAGAATAATCGAACACGTCAAAAACTAGCAAATGAATGAACCAACTCACTCAGTCAGTTCGAGAACATTCAAAATACTCGAGTCTGAGATTGAGATCAATATGCAATCCTATTGTGAACAGAAACAGTAATTATAGAAGGAAAAAAAAAAAAATTTAACAACTAAAATAAAAACAAAAACTTATCACACGCCTACTTTACATGAGCATGCACATGACATGTCAAACGTAAGAGTTTAGAATCCAGACTCCCTGTTTCTTTTCCTACAAAACACGTAAAAAATATTTTTCTTCGTTTGAAAACACATAGGACAAATATGTCCCGTCCTTTCACAAAAATGACACATGTAAACAAACTTTTTAGACTCTAGAGAATTTATATAAAGATGTGATATCCACACACATTTTTTTACATCTTTCACAATTTTTTGGTTTTTGGCCATCGGATCGACTGAATTGTAGAAGATCAACAGACATAAATTAATAAGAGATGCGTGAAAAGTAAAAAAATGGTGTGCGGATAGCACACCCCTTACGATAAGCTAATGATTTGGAAGCCTTAACAAATTTTGTCACAGTTTTAGAAGTAGGAGAACCTTGAATTGAACACAAGACCACTTTTATCACCAATTGAATCCATATGCGTTTTCAGTTTACATACTTTAAAGCACTTGTTTCTTCCTATATTATTGAAAGCCTTTTCTGTCATCTTTCTTAGCCTAATTTTTTTTTATAGATGAAGATTCTCTTCCCTTCTAATCTCTCTCCCATACTAATATTTTTCATATTTCCTCTTCTCCTATTTGAATGGTTATAGTTAAGTCACGTCAACATCTTAAATGCATATTTGATTTTAATTGATATTTCATTGATATTTGGTTTTTATCCAACATTTAATTGATATCTTTCTTAGCCTAACATTTAATTGATATTTGGTTTTTATCTGTTTAGCAATTAAAATTTGATTTGTGATAGCATTTACCAATTTGGCAATGCAATTATTGTTAGTAGCACATACATTAATATTAATTGGGAATCTTTCAGGGTGGCGTGCTATTGGGTCCAACTCCCTTGGCCGAACATCTTTTTTCTTCTTCAATGTATTGCCTTTTCGTAGCATGCGGACTTGAGAGATTCTGGGAAACTTGGCCATCGTTTACCACATGTTCTTGGTAGGTTTAGAGCTCGATTCAAACCAGTAATACGTTCCGGTTGGGTTTTACATCAGTATTTACTCCTCAAAGACTTCACCGAGCCAACCAAAATATACAAGCAAAACAGGAATGGCCCAATCTTTTGGGGCATTGCCCTTGCCACCACCAACTTCCCTCGCGGACCTCAAACTCCTCCGTTCCGAGGTTGGAAGACTCGCTTTGTCATCTGCCGTCATCTCCGACTTGTGTTCCTGGTTTCTTTTTCTGCTCGGAATGGCAGCAGTCAATATGACCAATATGGTAGCGGTTGGGTCCACTTTGGCCTTTATAGCAGTGTGCACATTCCTAATACGTCCGGCTCTCCCGCGGATATTAACCAGCGAGAGAGAGAAAGAAGATACCGACTACAGTCATCATATGTGCTTTGTTCTCGCTGGGGTGATGCTTTGTGGGTTCATAATATTAACTACATTGTAAAAGATGAAGAAATGGTACAGTGGTACAGTGGAAGAGGAAGATGATAGAGAGAAAAAACAGAAAGATTGTATTGATTAAAATGAAGAAAATGTATACAAAAGAACTTAAGGAAATGATAGCTATACAATCCCTTATATAGCCATATAACCTAATTACAATAATACCCTTCTAACTATACTAACCAATCTTATCCTTATGACAACCTACCAACACATTTCAACTAACTATATTCTTCATTACTAAGTAACCATGTCATCACTAATGACTATGGTTAATACTCCCCCCCTCAAACTGAACTTGGTGTAGCCAAGTGAAGGTTGAACGAGCTAGAACACTGAAACTGATCTGGAACTGCAAGACAAAAATGACTGCAGGGGCTGTTGTCGTTCATCAATTCTGCCATGTTGGCTATTTCTCATTTATTGGTGGTGGTTCTGTGATGGCACAAAATGTTCCAAAGTACATGATGGTTGCGGGAGAAAGAGCTGTGCTTCGTGGTCTTGGTCTGAACATACCCAACAAATTTTCGACTGTGAACTGAGAAGCCATAGTTGACACTGCCAAGAAACTAAATCTACCAAGGAGAATGACACTCCCAAGAAACTAAACTACCACAGAGAATGACACTCCAAGAAACTAAATCTACCAAGGAGAATGACACTCCAAGAAACCAAATCAGCCAAGGAGAATGACACTCCAAAGCACAACACAAATCTCACACTTCTACTAAAAATACCAAATAAGGAGACTGACACTCCATGAACACAAATCATATTGCAACTTAGGAGACTGACACTCCATGAACACAAATCATACTGCAACTGAGGAGAATGAAACTCCAAATCATACTGCAACTTAGGAGAATGAAACTCCAAGATTCATAGAAAGAATGACACTTTCTGCTTTAAATTGACAAGAAAAACTAATACTTGCAGAGATCAACACATCAAGACCACAGCTTCACTTCAATTAAACCTTGAAAGTACATCAAAGACCACAGCTTCAAGAAATAAGCGTTGCAGATCACCAAACAATTCCAAATGACTGCTATCAACACTTCGATGATCTATCGCACAACCCATATACCAGAATTCAGTTACCAATTCAGAAAAACACATAACCAAAATCCGAAATCAAATTCGAGAAAAGTATCCAGAGGAAGAAAATATGGGCAATTCATCAAACACTTAGGCTGCACATAGTCTAAACGTTCTGCCATACCAGAAAACAGAGCACGAATCAAAATCACAGAAAATCGAATTCAGAAAACTGCTCTGAAAAACACCACCAAGATGAATGAAGAAGTAGATAATCAACAGTGCAAAGAAAGCAAACTCTGCTGAATCATATATGCCATCACGCTGCAGCCACAGGAACTGTGGTCTCCTCGAGTTCGTCAGTCTTTCCCAGCAAAATCGCTAACTGAAATCGGACGGAAATCGGAATTTTCTGAAGCCGTCGAAGTTCCCCTAAATCCGACGACGTCAGTTTCGTCACCTGCGCCGTTCGATCTTGAGCGTGAAATCCTTGATTGGATTCGGACACTCGACCCCGATATGCTCAATAAGATTAGGAATCTCGACCCTGCCTTCCTCGATGCGATTCGGAACTTCGACCCTGCTTTCTCTTCGGAAATTTCTGAAAGAGTCGACGGTCCTCTAAATCCGCCGTCTGTTTCGTCACCTCCGCCATATGTTATGAACAACTCGGTGACTGAAACGAACTACCACGGACAATATGCACAACAGAAGCAAGCTGAAGAATTTCCAGAACGACAGGGATTTTTCTCAGGGAAATGAACCGATCAAAGTATGTCATGCACAAATATGCTGTTCGAGGATGAAATCCAAGACCCGTTCTTCTCTGGAGAACCCATGTGATGGATTCCAATCGAGCGTCCAAAACCCAGGCGGGAATCACCAAATCTTCGTCTTTCTCAAACCCAAATTCGATCTCTCTGTGGATTCTTCAAACCAGGAAGCTCCGGGAAACCCAGCTGTGGCTGTGCCGTTGGCGGAGGGCGGTGGGGATGAAGATCCACAAAACGGATCTGATACGAATCAGATTCCAGCAAGCGTCCGCCAGAGTGCCACCGCTGGCGTACTCCAGAACCAAGAACCAAGTTGTAGAACTTCTCGCCGTTCTCAACTGAGTGATCGATGCATTAGATTCTCACTCCATTGTTGGACCTTTTGTGTTGGGAGCTATCATGCCGAAGGGTGAGCTCTCACGCCTACTGACACGTAAGGTAGGAAATTTTGTGCCAGGAATTCGATGCCCCTCTTCTACGTAATCATAGGGTTAAGAGTGAGATTGCAAGATATGCTCAAGCATCCAGAAGCAGAATATGAGGCCAGAAGTGGGACGACCATCTATCGTTTAGTGGCGGTTGTCATCGTAGCTTTGAGAGCTAAGATTGTGTCTACTTTCGCTGCCAGCTTAATCAACAAAATGTCACCTCGAGATAGTCTGGCTCTTGGAGTACTCATGAACACCAAAGGCTTATTGACACTCATTGTGCTGAGTTCTGCTCGGGACCTAAAGGTAGAAGTCTTGGGATAATTGATATTATAAAGAAGTCTAAGGGCTGGTTTGGTATTGTTGTGCTTTGAAAAAAAACTGCTGTGAGAATAAGCAGCTGTAAAAAAAATTAGCAGAGTGTTTGGTAAACTTTTTTGTAAAAGTGCTTTTGAAAAAAAAAAGCAGATAGTGGGTCTTTTCATTAAAGGAGCACTGTAGCTCCGTGTGTTTTTAAAAAAAACCAGTTTTCCAAAGCTACAAATAGCAGCTTTAGCTTTTTTCTTTGATTTCAGCTTATTCTTACAGCAGCTTCCAAAATAAGCCATTTTTTTTCAGTTTACCAAACACCTAAAACCCTCACAGCTTTTTTTCATGGGTGCTTTTTTTTAAGCACCTCACTCCCAAACCACCCCTAAATCATGTTGACAAGAGTTAACCCAATCATATTGGTATATGGAGGACTCTTGTGTTTGCCCGTTTATAGGACTCATGCTGATATAAGGAATGCAATCTTGTATTCCTTGTAGGATTTAACAAGGCAATCTATGTTTAGTATAAAAATATAAGCCACTGCTCTCACAAAACATACGTTCAATATTAAACTAAGACCTATTGTTAGTTTGAGTACTTTTGGTTTTGCAAGAGAGGAGAAGGTGCACTGTTTGAAGTTTGATTTGGCTTCTTCTTCTACTGCTTTTATGGGTTAGTTTGTCATTATATTTATCGAATTGTGAATTTAATACTTGTATAAATTTGTGGTTCATGAGCTTAATCTCTTAACTTGTACTTTTGATAAGTTTAATCTTACAATGTTTATAAGTCAAGTACGAGACCTCCCGTGCAATACAAAGAGAGGAACATAGAAAGCGTAGGACCTGAAACCGAGCTTCGGATCCTTGCATGCTTCCACAACTCAGACAAAGTATCAGGCATCATCAACCTCCTTGAGGCTTCTAATCCAACCAAACAATCCCCTATCCATGTCCTCGTCGTCCACCTTGTAGAACTAACCAGGCATGCTTCGGCGATGCTTATTGTGCATGACACTTGCAAGACCCCCACCACCAAGTATAGACAGTTGCCTGATTCATCTAGTACCTCAAATGGCGCCTTTGGAAACTATGCACGAAAAAGAGAAAACATCACGGTGCAAAAACTCACCACAGTGTCTGCCTATGCCACGATGCACGAGGACATATGCAACTTGGCGGAGGAGAATCAAGCCACCCTCATAATTATCCCGTTCCACTACGGTAAGTCTCTCACTGATGGAGCCACAAAGTCCATCTCTCACTTAAGTTCTCTCAACAACAACTTGATCGCAAATGCTCAATGCTCTGTGGGTGTCTTTGTGGATCATGGGTTCGGTAAATCCAACATTATCACCGAGTCCAATTCAGACAGCGACAATGACAGTGGTGATGATAATTCTTTGGGCAGGAACCACTACCACTTTGCCATGGTCTTCATTGGAGGGACAGATGACCGCGAGGCATTAATGTATGCATGGAGGATGGCTGGGCATCCTAACGTTAGATTAACTGTCATACGGATCAACTTTTACAAGAAGGAAGTGCAAACATCCATGGATGACAACAAGGACAGCTATGACGATGGAATTTTAAAGGCAATGGCAAGCACAGGGATGGAGGAAAAACTCGACCACTTATATTTGGATGATTTTAGGCTCAAGTCAATGAATGATCCGATCCCTCCATTAAATTTGAAGAGAAGATGTTGACAGGCTGGGTAGAAACTCTCAAGCTAATAAACTCCATGGAAAGTGAATATGATATGTACATAGTTGGAAGAAGACGTGGCGATATGTCACCTTCGTCGAAGTTATTGTATTTCAGCGACTCCGATGAACTGGGAATTGTCGGCGATGCACTAGTATCTTCGAGCTTTTTGGCGTGCACATCCATTCTTGTAGTGCAACAGGGCCCCTTTTATTTGGAAGAACAAGATGTCGAGGAGTAAATGAGGGATGTTGAGAACAGTTTTAGAATAGGAGGCCGCGGCATCCTTTAAAAACAAAACAAAAAACCATTGCTTTAGCCTTAGTTTGTAAAATGAGTAGTAGCAGGCCTCGAGAATTTCATAAATTGTAGGTGGCAGAACTAAATCCGGCCGGATTTGACTTCCGGGCACGCTGATCAAGAGTTTCACGCCCCAATTTGGTAAAAAAACAAGCATAAACGCAAGGCCGGCCGAGAGCAAGTGGAGGCCTGAGGCAAAAGAAAAGAGTCCAGGAACTCTAATTTGGTTTTAACAGTCTGCAAATAACTACATCAGTCGCACTTCATTTTTGGTTGAAAATGTTCAGTTTTGTTTCAGTTGTTAAATTTCCATCAAATTAATCAACCCATCTAGTTGTTGCATTAAAAAGTAATTAACAAAGACAAAATTCGTTTCAATTCCGAAAAATAAAATAGAATCTCAACAAGATTGAAAGAAGACCTGTGTTACTCCAAAACTGATTCCATATAATCAACTCGATATAATCCATTCGCAACCCAGATATACATACGAGAAGTTGGAACCTTCTTATTTCCATTTACGATTTGAGATTTGTGTATATTACTATTTCTACGAGCCTACCCTTAAACCAGATTGTTCATTCTCTAAACATCAGTTGTATCATAACGTTTTAGTATCTTGAACGCAGCTGACCTATTGTGTGTCCCAATTTGGAATGCTAGCCGTAGCTTCATTCACCATCTTTACAAGGGTGACCTGCACACAATGAGCATGTAAGTCAGAGAGCGAGAGAGAGAAGGGGGGGTTGGGGGTGGCAGGAGAGAAGATATTAAAAATAAATTTATTCACTAAATATGACAAAATAAATGGAAACTTCAATTCTAAACAATCCGAATTTGGAAGTGAAATAGTAAACATAGTTTGTTAGAGGTCACCACGACTATATGCAGTTAGTCGGTCAGGCTGACCATCATCAACACAAGCCATGGCCTGATTTCCTTCTACCTATCAACTTCATTGTTGGCTTTCCGCTCACTATTCACAACTCAGCAGGGCAGAGTACTCTTCATTCTGAGTTAAGTCTATGAATGTCTGATCGGGAATTTCCACCTTTTCAGACTACATCCGTGATTACTTACCGAGATGACAAATATTTAAAACAATCAAGTACAGACAATTAAAGGCAAAAGTAAATGGAGAAATATTTAAATGTAGAAATATTTCAGCCGGTTCCAGTAATTAGACTCCAACAACTAGACAAACTGTAATGAAGAGAACTAGTACAGACAAATAAAAAAAATTAAGGCACACCAAATACCATAAAAAACAGAACATCCAATTACAATAATAACAACAATTCTAAGACATACCACACTCTCAGGAACCCCAGGAGGAGGCAAGGGAAGGTTTCTTGGTGGAGGTCCACGTAGATACGATCTCTTGTCAAATCTCCATTCCCCGATTTTGCCATATGTTAGCTCACCCTAAACAGTTAGAAACCTCAGATCTATAATGGGCAATAGAGGGAAGGGACATAACAGGAATACACATAGAGGGGAACGGCCATACATACCTTTAAGTTGTAGTCACATCCGTAAGTATAATGAATAATAAACTTTTTACTAAGTTCCAAATCCCATGGGGGCTGAAAATTTGAAGACAATAGAAAATTGTTAATCACAACGTGTACACATTCAGTGTTGTTTACTGAACCTAACAGAGAACTCAAAATGGAAATCAATTTTGATATGCATAGCTTCTAGTAAGATTCCAAACCTGCAGCATGAAGTCCTTCCGAAGAACATGCTGCACACCATGCAAAGCAGATGCCACAGCATAAGCATACCTTAGTTCATCAAAGAAAATAAGACACAAAGATACGTCAAAGCCGGCATCTCTTGTTGCTAGAACCCAACTTAGTCGAAAACTGAAGTCACAGTCAAACTTACATTTCTAGCACCCATCCAAAAGCTTTATCCGTCTCTGTGTCTTCTTTCATCCTTAAAGAAACATTCATCCATGTAGGAGCAATCTTTTCCAGCAAATCCTGAATAATTACATTTACTCATTAAAGTTCCAGGAGTCATATATGACAATGGGAAATTATACAAGGAAACATCAACATTTTAAATAGGGTGCTGCTATTAGCACTCGGAAAAAGTCATTCTGCACTCCAAACATATAAACACAAGAGAAAACACACTTGGGAGGAATGCACAATGACTTTTCTGGAGTGACAATAACAGCACTCTTTAAATCTCTTAAACATAAGAAGGACCATCACAAATGCTAGACACAGCGAAGGAAATAACAGTTTACCACAAGCTATTACCTTCTTAATAATTACAGGAGAATTTCCAATTGGATCAATATTCGTGACCGGACCATTCTCCTCAGGATAAAACTTTCTTATGATCTTCTCATTCTGAGAAGGTTTAATGTAGAAAAATGGGTAGGCAGCTGGATATCCTCCATGTGCCAAATTAGGAAGAGGATTTATAAAAATGTGATCGGGCTCCGCCATCAAAATATATCTGCAACAACAGAATTCAAAGAATTTGACCTCAAGTAAAAATAAAAAAATAAGAAAACTCAAGGTCATCAAATATGCAGAAGCTCACTCTTCCTCAATTGTAGCCTTTTCCAGCCATTGCACAAAAGCCCATGGTCTATTTAAGACAATGTATCCCTGTATACAAAATTTGCAATCACGCTAAGGAAACAAAGATAGATAAAAAACATATACTTTAAATTGTCAGAATGACAACAGTTACTCAAACTTCTTTATTGTTCATATAAAGGTTATTGAAAAATAATCTTCAACTACTGCCGTGCAAGGTCTAAGCTTTACACATGAATCAACATAAAAGTTAAACTCAAAAAGTAAGAAAACATCCAAAAAGTTAAAAAAATGACTTTTCTTAAAATATTGCACAAGAGCAACAAAAATATCAGTAACTCTACACAAAGGATCTAATCATTAGATTCAAAACTTGGATTTACAACTATCAGGTGTCATCCAATGAGCAGAAAATCATTGAGAATGGTGATACAGTGGATCAGCATGGACCCTGAAATTCAACAAACTTTATTCTTCACCAAGATGCATTGCTTCTCATCCACTCAAAACCATTCTTAGCTTCAGCACAAAAAAATGGCATCTTCCTTTGCTTTTTCTTTACTTTCTTTTTGTTTATGACTCTTTTTCCTTTATTCTCTTTTATTTTCAGTAAACTTTCGTATAACTCCCAACACATTACTAATATTGCCAAGACCCCTTATTTTGACTTTAGATTAAAACATAAAATGGTGCAAATAGAAACAATCACATCCAATTGGTGTATCGAAGGTACTACTTGAGGCGAAAATAAGAAATCCCAACTAAAAGTTAGTAAAGAAAGGATGAATGAAATACACAAAGATATAATAACAAATAATTGACAGTGCTAGAAGCCTAACCCGATCAAGGCCAGCAGGAAGAGGATCAACCACCAAAGTTGGAATCTCATCCATCAAATTGTCAGGATTTCCTGAATGCAAAATTCGAGTAAATCCTCCCATATCTGATCCAGGCAAGTCCTTCTTCTTCTTATACCAATAGTACATAATGCGACACTGCCATTTGCTATAAGGGGCATCGGTGGCTGTTAAGGCAACATGGAATGGTGCCTTGGTATTCTTGAACTTCTTCACATTCTCCGGCATCTCAACAATCGGGTCAGATAGTAACCCACTATTCGTATTATCACCTACCCTCTTCCCAACCGATCTATGATGAATTATCATAGTTAACAAATTATAAGTAGCAAAGGAAAACCCAAGAGTCAAAAGAACGAGAAGTAATGGTGAAGCTCGTCCCATGTTCTTCCTCCCAATCATTATTTATTACAAGCGAAAAACAATCTCAAACTTCCCAAACGCAGAAATTCTCCTATTCCATCACAGCTTAAATTGAAAAGTTTCAAGTTCAGCTGTGCAGAACACAATGTAACAACAGCATTAAACCCTTCTGTGATTTTATCCAACTTCCACAAAAGTTTTTCGAGATACCTACGATAAGCAATTCCACTTAAATTAGTAAAATATAATGGAATTACCCAGAACTTTTCAATAATATTGACCCAGACAATACTATGAACTGCAACAACTCATAATTTACAACCCCATCATAATTCCTACTGCAAGGTGAGTTTCTATTGAAACCCACCCAAATGCTCTCTACACCCCCACTCAGCCTTTGGGTGGGGGAGGGGGGGGGGGTTGTGTTTAAATGGAATTCCCCCAAAAATTTCACAGATCAGCACACTCAAGCTCCAAACTTCACAAAAAAAATTTCATGTTTAAAAAAACCTTAATCACATTGTAATGAGTAAAAACCAGAACAAAGGAATTCAGACATTCAATGTACATACATAGGATAGGATTGATAAAACCAACTACAAAGTTCATTCCTTTGACAACAAAACAGGAAACCCACAACCCCAACAGAACAAAAAAAAAAACACAAATGAAAGATTGAACAAGTAAACAAATGTAACAGTCGTTTCCAGTAGTTGAAGTATAAAACTCCCACAAAACAGATATATATATATATATATATTTAGAGAGAGGAGGGAGAGACCTTGGCGTGGGCGGAGGTGGAGAAGGAGGAGGAGAGAGATTGGAGTTTTGGATCAGAGGAGAGAGAAAAGTATGGGGATTTTGTCGATTTGACAAACTGGGTATATTGAGGTTCTGGCTCCTTCTTTTCTGTCTTTTTCTGTACAATTGTAAGTGGCCTTTTATATTTGGTTTCTTTACTTAAAATTTTTAGAAAATTATTATTAGGATTTTAAAAAGAAAATTTTAACGAAAAACTCAAGATACTGTTTAATTTAACGAAAAATCATATTTTTAGATGTAAAAAAGTCAATCCTGATACTATTCACTTTACCCTTTATTTTGTCCTTATCGTTAAAACTCAAAGTTTTCAAATCATTTTCATTAGTTTTCCTTTTTAAAAATCTTATTTTATACTCTTTAAAAATTATATTTTCTTTTTATTTATAAAAAATTTTGAAATGTAAAATAAAATTTTTGAAGTATAAATAATAATTTTTTTTTTTATTCTCACACAAATAAATTGTAAATGATATCTAATTATTTATGGTCATTTTATTGGTTTTTGGTCGGCTATCCAATGTAATTGATGAATTCCACTACTTACGTGCCTTTTCACTCCAACAAACCAAAAAAGAAAACCCACCGACCTTTTCACTGTTTTCCTTTTTCTTTTTGTCTTATATGCATTTTCTTTTCTTTTTTTGGAAAACTAGACATATTATTCCAGGACTAAAGGCCAAACAAAATTACAAAGTGGTCCACCAACAACATAAATACAAAACAAAAGATTAGACCTCAAGAGCCCACACAAAAAAGCCCAAAACAAGTGATTGATTGCTTTGGTGAGTAAAACATTTCTGTATAATCGAGTGTGTTGTTTTTTTTGAATGTAACTATATATATTTAAACTAAGAAAGTGAGAGAATTGCGCTAAGCTATATAATTGGTTTGTCGTAATAATTTGGTTAAAACACATCATCAATGAGAATCGAACTTAATATCTTTAAATATAAGTGCACAAAAATATCACAAAATTGTAATACTAAGTTACCACTACATCTCGAGTTTAAACATTCATTTTTTTATTTATTATATCTTAGAATAGTAAATCGCTTGTAATAAGAAAGTATGTATGTTTGAAGCATTAAAAATAACAATTTGATTGAGAATGAAATTGGGGTGTTCAAGATTCAATTGATATCATCTGATGGAATCATGTTTAATAAATATATTATAGAACATGAATATTTTTCTTTATCATTTGGTTTTTATTTATCAAAATATCAAATTTCGCTAGAAAACTCCCAAAGTTCCTACAATACAACTAAGGCAATAAGGCACCAAGTCTAATAAGGCAACAAAAACAATGATCCCAAAAATGACAAAACTCAAACGGAAAAAAAAAAACTTAGCCAAACTAGAAAATCCACGCCATTGCGGGTTTAGGGTTTAGGTACATTGAATTTGATAAGAAATTGATTAGATTGGAAATGTTAAAAATGACCGTTTTCCCGATATAGTACCAATACATTTTTGGGAACTTTAACGAAAAGTATCTGGTACTGTTCACTTTAACGCAAAAACACATTTTTACACTAAAAAGTCAATCCTGGTACTATTCACTTTACCCGTTATTTTGTCTTTATCATTAAAACTTAATGTTTTCAAACTCTTTTCATTAGTTTTCTTTACATTTTTTTAGTGGAATCATCGAGGGTTTAGGATTTAGGTACATTGAATTTGATAAGAAATTGATTAGATTGAAAATGTTAAAAATGACCGTTTTCCAGGTATAGTATCCATACACTTTTTAGTGGAATCATTCTTAACGTAAGTAGTGTTGACAGTCAATTGTACAAAAAATTCTTAGAAATTCATGTTTTGATTCGAAACGTACTCTCATATTTTAAAACTAAAAAATTCTATTTTTTTTTTCCGAGATTTAAATAATCATTTTGTACAACGTCAATTGACCAGCCTCACCTTTACAATCATTACATTTGAACAAGAATTTTATATTACAAATGTGGATTGGCGTGCTAGTTAAAACATTACTATTCAACCCATTGCATCTGATGTTCAAACTCTACCCCCACCCTTTAGAGTATTTTTGAATATAAATATCGTTTGTAATAAAATATATATGTACAACCCATTGTATTCTGAGTTCAAACTCTCCTTCAAAACCGATCTAGTGTTTTTTTTTTTATCTTGACTATACATCAAAATTGACTTCCATTTTGTTTGTGATTACGACGGCATCCAATGACTTGTTCCTCTCAAGTTGCCCTCACTCCCACGCTCTTAGGTTGGATGTCTACACGGATGGAACTACTACACACCCACCAATGCCATTGCCAAGGATATCGATTCCATTTCCACCACAATAAATCTCTTCCTCGAAATATGCAAATTAATTACCGTAATTGGTCGCATCTTAGCAGTATTTCGATGCTTTTGGTATGGCATCCATCTCAATCCCATGCTAGTGGTGACTGGTGACAAAGAAAAAGACTTAAAATCAAGGAGGCATGGAAACAATAGTCGCATAGAACTCCGAATATCCCGGAAATGGAAAGAAAAATCGATTTCAAAATATTGGATTGAAAAATTGGAAACCTTTGTCGTCTGAAAATCAAATAAAGGTTTTTAGGAGATTGGAGACGTATGTATTAGTTTTGAATTTGTGTCAAACAATTGAAGTGAAGGATTTCAATGTAATCGTTGCGAAATTGAACTGGTATTTCTCACCCGTAATGTGCAGTATATTGAAGTTCTACACTAAGAATTAGTGAGGAAGAACGGATTATATTTTTCCTAATTCTGGTCATCACTGAAAGCCAAATTGAATATCTGACTGTAGTCATCTACAAAATGAACATCAAGACCTTCTTTTACATTAGGGGCAAGCTCGTCGAAATCCCTCCTGTTTGCTGCAGGGAATATGATGGTCTTCACTTCGCTCCTCCTTGCTGCTATCGTTTTCTCCTTAACCTAAATTGTTTACAAAAATGAAATTTAGTAACACAAAACACTGAAAAAACGCAAGCATGTTGCTTGAAAATTCACCATGAGGTAACCAAGAGTACACCTCCCTGAAGCATACAGAAAATAAAAAGAAATCCCGTAACTTAAATCATAAGAACTATATAGGTGTGTGAATGTGAGTGGGTGTGTGTGTGAGAGAGAGAGAGAGAGAGAGAGAAAGAGAGCATCGACCAAAATCTGATTTAATGCTTGTTTGTCGAGATTTTTTACAGTTTGTTACTTCTATGTATGTATGAGAGAGAGAGAGAGAGTTGATTAACATACCCCGCCTATTGGAAGGATCCTCCCAGTTAGTGTTACTTCTCCTGTCATTGCTAAATCCCTCCTGATAGGCTTCTTCATGGCAACGGACAGCATGGATGTGATCATGGTGCAACCAGCACTAGGACCATCTTTTGGTGTGGCCCCAGCAGGAACATGGAGATGAAGCTTGGAATTTGCAAAGAAAGTGCTATCAGGCTCTTTATCGAGCAATATAGCTCTGGCAACAGTATGTGCAATTTGGGTACTTTCTTTCATAACATCACCAAGTTGGCCAGTGACATGAAGGGATCCTTTACCCTCTGCTTCCTCAATCTGAGTGGTCTCTATATACAACGTAGAACCACCCATGGCAGTCCAAGCAAGACCCATAACAACTCCAACTGGGGTCTGATCATAGATTCGTTCAGCATGGAAGACAGGTTTGCCAACAAAATGATCCAAGTTTGGTGAGTCAACCAAAACTTTTTCAACTGTTTTCTCTGTTTCTTTTGCATCCTGTAAGTACAGCTATAAAAGATCCTTAGTGGGTGAACGCATAAGTTCATACATCATTATAGATGTCATGAAAACATTGAGCTGAAGGTAACTCGGGAGGAAAAAGATGAGCACCAAAAGGCAGTTTAAAAAGATTTAATTTTATGTGGAGTTTGCACATGATTGATACTCTCTACATGCTATCATTAATATTAAATCATTTTTATTTTCTTTCCAATAATTATAAAATTCTTTTCCTTCACATTTTACATATGTAAAATAAACTAAGAGAATCTTTCCAAACTCTCTCTGCTTCATCATACAGATTGTTAACTAGCTCTAAATAAATAGCCAACTGCCCAAAAAATTTATATCAGAGAAACAAACAGGAATTATATTCAACTGCATTCAAAACATTTCTGGCGCAGAGCATGTCATTAACCAGAATTTATATTTTGCTACATACCTTTGAATCCACAGGTTCATCAGCATCTGCAACCTGAACTTCCGCAACTGTAGATTCGTCTGGGAGATCCGTCTGAATCGTGACTCCTTCTCCAGAGGTTTCAGGACTATGCTTATGACCGTTACCCTCAACTAACTCAGCTGTAGTCTGGTTCTTACTAGCAACCATGTCTTGATCTAACTTATCAATAGCTTCTGCTTGGGTTTCATCAGTGTCCACAAGCTGAACTTCAATAACTACAGGCCCATCTGGGGGAGATTGTATTTGATCAGGAACTACTTGTTCATCTGATGCTCCTTGTCTAACAATTTGGAGAGCTATCTGCCACATCATAAAAGATAGGTTAAAGTATACCATTGGTCAAGGAACTACATGATTGCTCAACAAGGTCATAAATTTGTTCCACTTTTCCGAATAAGCTCCTTGAACCTAAGAGAACCATGGGGAAACTTTTCAAACCCGTGGATAAATGTTTTCAAGGTTCATCATATGATAAGATGCAAGTTTGCAACGATGATCTAGATATAGATACTTATACAAACCTTGCGGTAGATCTTTTCTATGTGCTTTTGAAGGTTCCTAACACCTGCTTCTCGGCAATAATTTTCAATGAGGGCAAGAAGAGCTGCATCTGTCACTTCAACCTGAAAACATAATAATTTTAACATACATAAAAGATGATACAGAGACACTTTACA